CTATGAAAACAATCATGATTATGAATGAAAAGTGTTTCAGTTTATTATGAACAAAGGCTCATTGTACTGCATATGGAGGAATTTTGATGATTGATGGTACTTCGGAACATTTTTGATAGGTACCAAAAGGCAAGAAGATGGCAAATGATAATCGCAATGATATAGTCCTCACCAGAACAGCTCACGTATATGAAGTGCTCAACCAATTAAGTGGACCATTCAAATGTTTGCCAATTTTGAATTTGCGATAATTCTTCAAACAATGAATTGATTTTCAAGCAGTTGTTGAAAGCTGCGTTCTTCCTCTTCAAGAATCATTGTTCATAACACATAGAAATTCTACAGTCATGACCCACCAAGTGTTTGAAATAAGTGTTAGAGAAATGAATAAGTTTGAGTGCCCCTGGTATATCACAAGATTTTTTTAAATTTTTTCACGAATCCTGTTTTCTGTAGAGAAATGATGAAATTCGATTCTTTTCGATTTTATGGATTTCGTGGGCAATATTCAAACCATTTTGCTTCGTTATACCATTGAAGACATCATAAGAGATGAATTCATCATGCTTTGAAATCAAGGACATCTTTAACAGGAAAACACCTCTTATAAGTATGCATTATCAAGAAATACAGAGAATGTTTGGCCCGAATGCATATCAAGTTCTATATACCCTTCTAGATCACGAAGAATATTGGCCTCAATGGAATATTGAAGATAAATCATTAGGGCCTTCTCCATTGAAGATCAACTGAGGATTTACTTGTTTATACGTTACCCATAATATGCAAGCTTCAACAGATGAAACATGAGAAATCTCTAGCTATGGCGGACTTCTCCACAAACATTCCATAAATTCATCATATGGCCTACCACCTGAGCTATGCCTTCTTTCATAGGATTTTCATTCAGGCAGATCGTTCCATGTGGTGGTGGACGGAGTATGGTCTGATACCATAGCCATTTTTTTTCTGGTCTGTTCTGGTTCCCACGAAAAGGGATATCCTGTAATGTTCAGAGAACATCGTGAGATCCGAGGGAAATAGGGTAGGAATTGGTGTTCTTCTTAAATTTCTGGAGGTTATATGCCTCGGGGAACACCTCCCTAGGCAATGTGCTCCAGAGCCTCGCTGTTCGTTGGATGAACGAGTCTTTGGAAAGAGATGTTCTGCAGGTCTCCAAAGTGACCACGAAGGGGTGCGAAGCCTCAACTCAAAGGGTTATCATAGAGTATCCATGAAAATATCTATAAAATAGAGCCAGATCGCCACCTTTTCCACGGTGTTCCAGAGAAGTGAGTGAGTTTGTGAGCGAGGCATCACCCACGAGACGAATTGCCCTTTTTTGGAAAGAATCCAACAGTTCCAGGGTATATTTGGGTACTGCACTCCAAATATGGAAACAGTATTCCAGGACTTAGATAGATAGATAGATAGATCATAAGCAGCTGACTGGGAGTGAAATAGCTCCTGGCCCGAAATAGAAAACCAAGTTTTTGGGATGCACTTTTAGCAATTCCAGCTGTCCTCAAGGGTCAATTTTTACACCAACATTATTTCTACTCCATACTAGAAATAACCACTTGATGCCCTGTCCATAGCCTTGCAGATTATATAGTAGTCTCCATAGAGAATTCCCATTTCTTTCCAGGAAACTATAAGAATTTACGACGGAGGCATCAGGTCAATGCTTTTGAAGATCTTGCTGACATTACAGCCTGGGTAACCAACAGCCTAGTTGAATTCAACAACACCAGAACCCAAGCCTATATGCATTTTCTCAAGAAAGGCTGTATTCAGTATGCCTGATATAACGATGTCTGGTGCCACGATTCTCACCAAGTCCACTATATCTATATATGCTCGGTATTTCAATCAGCAATACTCTTTCACTTTTTTCAATGTGTTCTTGATTCATTCTATGTTATTGAGAGGGGTGGGCGGTTCTTCGGTTTTAAATTCAGTAAAATGATTAGGTTTCGCCTATGCCTTAGGCTTTTTCAATCTATAATACCTATTTGTTACATGATGTTGTACAATTGTACTAGTCTCGACCAGAACTATTTCTTTGGTAGCATTTTTCACTATATTTTTCCTTTATGTTCATAACTGTTTCTTCCGTTATATTGGGAAATAAAATAAGGAAAACGTGTTCAATGTTTTTTTCTTTGCCCCTGTAACTTGTGTGTTTTTTGGTTGGATGTTTGACATAATATGACATAGAACCATAGATGAATTACTCTCTCATAGGACTATCGAACATTGTTTTTTAATATTGGTGGCAGTGATAGATACTATACGATAGCCGTTATCTTTTCGTCGTCAACCTTGAGATATGTCAAACAACTCTCTACCAATACAAAAATAACAAGAGTTCTCAAATGCTAAAAAAATCCAATACATATCTTTTTCAATGTCCTTCTTAGGTACTCACGGTTCTCTTCGAACCTAATAGGGATTCCCTTTCGTGCTTTCCAATACATAAACAAATAGCCGTAGAATAGCAGTATTCGTTTTTTTTATCGATTGGAGCGCACGAAAGGGAATCCCTATAATGTTCAAAGAACATCGTGCGTTCCTAGGGAGGATAGGGACAGGAGGTAGGTATTGGAATTTTTTTTGAATTTTTGGAGATTATATGTTGTTGGGAATACTTCCACAGGCAATGAATTCCAGAGCCTAGCCGTTCTATGGATGAAGGAGTCTTGATAAAGTGCTGTTCGACATCTTTCGAGGTTGACAACGAAAGGATGTGCTGACTGGGCTTGTCTAGTTCGTCTGATTGGTATTGCTAGTGAAGGGATGATTGCAGAGATTTCCGAAGAACATTTCCCGTGGAAGTATCGATAGAAAAGTGAAACGTCGCCGACCTTTCTACGGTGTTCCAATGATGTCAAAGAGTGAGTGAGTGTGGCGTCACCCACCAGGCGAATGGCTCTTCTCTGGATGGAATCTAAGAGCATCAGCGTATGTTTTGGTGCTGAACCCCATATGTGGGAACAGTATTCTAGAACAGGCCGTATCTGCGCTTTGTAGATCATGAGAAGCTGTTGAGGTGTAAAGTAGCTTTTCGCACGGAACAAGAATCCGAGTTTGCAATGCTTTCTTTCTGGGTAGCGATGGACTATGTGATCGCACCGAATCAGAAGCAAAGAACTTCTATATCAATTCAAAGTAATGCAAATGCATTCAAAGATATACCGTAGCGTACACATTTCACGGGCGGAATCTAATCTGCTTTATTTCTCGAAATAGAAGAGTGCTTTCTGTCGGTATGCCGCGAGCAATCTGCTCCCTCATGCAATTTTCATCTTGTGCCCTTGTTCGCTTTCCTTCTGGAAAGGTTTTCCACTTTCGGGTCTCCTTTCCTCGTGGATATCGTCTGGACGCGGGAATCGCAAAAAATTCCTAGCAGAATAAATGTATAAATTTCGGCTTCACGGGCGAGTGGTGAATTTCAAAAGGGGGTTTTCCGTACAATCGCTCTCATTAATGATTGGTACAGGGAATGAGTATACAGGGTATGTCACAACGAGGCTACACTATATCTATATCGAGAATCAGTCGGGAGAAAACCATGGCCTGGTGGGTGATGCCACACTCACCAACTCTTCGACCCCATTAGAACACCGTAGAAAAGTCGGAGACCTTTCACTTTTCTATAGATACTTCCACGGGAAATGTTTCTCAGAAATCTCTGCTATAATTCCATCACTAGCAATATCAGTCAGGCGACCTTGAAAAATGTCGAACAACATTCTACCAAAACTCGTTCGTTCATAGAACGGCGAAGCTTTGGAATTCTTTGCCAATGGAAATACTCCCAAGAACTTGTGACTGCCAAAAGTTTGAAAAATTCTAACACCTACCTGATCTCCCTGTACTTCATAGGGACGTGCGATGTTCCACGAGAATTATAGGAATTGCCATTTCTGGAACCATGTTTATATGAACTTTTTTTACTATCTTTGTTTCTAGCATCTGTAGTTGAAATCTGTGATGTAAAGTAATTTAGGTACACCCTGTATAGCCATTCTTTTTCTTTTATTTCGATCTACCTTCCTGTGATAGAAGTCTGAATTTCTATAGATTTGAGAAACAAATAAATTGTGGCACTTCTACGATTCCGTATGAATCCGACTGGGGATTAATTCGAAATCAAAATCCGAATCGCTTCCCATTTTATACCGTGTAATATTTTTATGTGATGGAAAAACAGATCTGCGGTTTGATCGTCGACGATAAAAAGCCCTCGGTATACGACTTTTATTGTCCTCCCAGTGTAAATATCGGTTCCCGTATTTACTTTTTCGAACCCGCCGTCGTGTGAGGTTTCACACACTTACGTTCTTTTTAAAACAAATCATAAAATTCTATAAACAATCTAGACGCACCGTCTTTTAATAGTGTTTGAATCCGAACGGCGATGGTTGTTATTGTTAGACGCCCTGTAGAGAGAAATATGTGGATTCGTCGGTGGCAGTATTGGGGCCGAAATTGTTCGATCTGTTTGGAAAGATAACACATCATGCTTAGCTGCGCACCATTAGAACCCACCATTGGAATTATGGTAATGGGCAGAGTCACAAAAAGACATCATTATACCAATACCGAATAACATAACCGACATGACAGTTATACTCTTTTTGCAATGGCCAAGTCAGCCAAGTGACATGATGGTTTCAAACTTCCAAATCAATCATATTTTATTATTTCTTACTCTATTATGGAAATAGCACATCTAGAAAAGGGGAGGAATAATATATTGTTCAGATCAGAAGTTCATCTTTGATCTAGCAAACATCAATACATGATGGACCATCACTTTCTAAACTGTTTCACCCCAATGTACTATCATTAGCACAATAGCATTTTCAAATGGTACATCACAACCTGGGGAATATATCGCTGTGCTAGAACAACACTAGGACAACTTGCAAGATGGGCAATTCAAGAAATCTGGTACAGAATAATGATGAGAAAATGCTATTCCTGATGCTCACAACTTGTGAGTTTTTTTTATATGTTCTGGTTCATACGAAAAGGGATATCCTTTAATGTTCAGAGAACATCGTGAGAACCAAGGGGAATAAGGTAGGAATTGGTGTTCTTCTTAAATTTCTGGAGGTTATATGCCTCGGGGAACACCTCTTTTGGCAATGTGTTCCAGGGCCTCGCTGTTCGTTGGATGAACGAGTCTTTGGAAAGAGATTTTCTGCAGGTCTCCAAAGTGACCACGAAGGTGTGCGAAGCCTCAACTCGACGGGTTAATCTCGCGGGGACTGCCAAGGGAGGAACAATTGTTGATATTTCAGAAGAGCATCGTCCATGAAAATATCTATAAAATAGAACCAGATCGCCAACTTTTCTACGGTGTTCCAGAGAAGTGAGTGAGTAGTTTGTGAGCGAGGCATCACCCACGAGACGAATTGCCCTTTTTTGGACAGAATCCAATAGTTTCAGAGAATGTTTGGGTGCTGCACTACAAATATGGGAACAGTATTCCAGGACAGGTCGGATCTGTGCCTTATAGATCATAAGCAGCTGACTTGAAGTGAAATAGCTCCTGGCCCGAAACAGAAAACCAAGTTTTTGGGATGCACTTTTAGCAATTGATCTCACGTGATTTTCCCAAGAAAGGTTATTGCTGCTAGTAATACCAAGCATCGAAATGGATGTCTTCAAAGGTATGGTTACTCCTGACAAGCTTATACTGGGCACAGTGAGATCGGATTTTCTAGAGAAAATACATGCTTGTGTTTTGTTTGCATTGAAATCACCATTACATGACTTTGTCAATTTGGAAAATGTGAATATCAGCCACAATAATTATAACTGTATATAGGTTAGGTTAGGTTCCATGTGAGTGGGGCGAATACCTCCCCTCCACTGCGACCCCAGATGGGTCTATTGTGGCTCACCCCTAGAGGTTACAGTTCACCGTACAATAATCCACATCTTTTTACAAAGTTCATGGTTGAATTGGGTGAGATTTGTCTGAAATCGATAGGTTCTAAATTGGTAAAGCCAAATGTGTCGAACCTTAGTCTTTCTGAGCTAGAGCATGAACATAATATGTGTTCAGCCGTTTCGTTTTCCACACAACAGAACCGACAGTCCGTTTGTTGGTTCAGACCCATCCTTCCCAGGTGGTATCTTAGACGACAGTGTCCCGTAAGCAGTCCAGTCAGAATTCGCAGGTTACCCCTGCTCCATTCTAGGATCTGCCTGTTTATTTTTTCCGATGGTTTAGGCAGGAACGCCTTCGAATAGTTGTTTTCGCCCCACTTGCGGTGACCCCAGAATATGGTTCTGGTCCTATGAACACAGATTCGGTTCCATGTTTGGCGAGGATGTCGGCTTTCTCGTTACCCTCCACCCCCAGGTGTCCAGGCACACAAAGCAAAGTGACTCTGTTGTTTGCACCCAGGCATTCTAGGGATTCAATACAGCTCCATACAAGCTTGGAATTTATCTTGCTGGAGCTCAGTGCTTTAAGAGCAGCCTGACTGTCTGATACAATACTGATATAACAACTGTATATAACATTGAAACTCATTTTTCTCGACACTTTGTTATTATTGTTCTAGCAAAGCAATAAATACTCATTTCAAAAACACCTCGTATAGTAGATCTGCTGGATGATTTTGATTAATAAACCGTACTTAGTGTGAACCCATTTTAAGGGCCCGCAACCAACCCTCCAACAATTTTTCCAACGGCTCGATCTAAGTCTCCTGCGAATACGTTCCACGTCCGTCCGAAAATGTTATGACAGCCTCCAAAGCCCTCTAGATGGAGCTCTTAATTAATCGTTTTCCGTGTTTTGATTGAAAATAGCGAGCTTATTGAGAGCCTCGGGCTAAGCGTTCGACCGAACAACGAATATCACGCCAATATATCGCGCCCACTACCCTTTTCCATACCCCCTTACCCCCTTTCAACATACGCCCCTCGCTAGCGTGGCCTTGGGCCATTCCCCCACTCCCGTGTACTGGGTGACAAACACAAGGAGTTTTGAATAGGAATATTTTCAGATATAATTATGAACACAAAAAAATGGATATACAGTGTGACCCACTTCTAATGGAAACACCTCTGTATCTTACGTAATCGGTGGGTGAGGATCCTGAAATTTGCTGGAGCGAAAGATATACCAAAAATGCACTCTACAACCAAGTGATATACACTGCTCGCCAACAGCCATGGGACCACCCTAATTTCCAGAAAATGATATTAGGAGTTAAAATAGGTAGAAAATCACTTCAGATTCGGAATCAGGACGCCCACAGTCGATATATAAGTGAAAATCAACTAGAATCAGTCTCAGCAGAGATCTCAGTTACTTAAATATTAATCAACCCCAGTCTAGTAATGAAGCTGGTCAAAAACACTTCATTTCATTGCAAATTACAAAATCGAAAATGACAGTTGACAATTCCTACCATTAGCAGGCAGGGCAGGACTCAAACGACTGAAGGTGTGTTCAAAAAACTATGTTAGTTATGTGAGTAAAAAATAGTATATTATGAAACAAGTGTTATAAACGTCCTTTTAGTAACGAGTGTTTAATAAACGAGTGTCTAGAAGAGTTTATAAACGCGTTACATACTATGCTTTTTCTACGAAATCCGAAAATTACATTAACATACCTGCTATTCCTGCTAACCTACAAAATAATTCGAAAGGAATGGGAATTGAGAACATAATACATGCAACTGCATGCAACCAGCTAGACACGTATAAGTGATATTGGTTGTAGATGTGTCCAGTCCATTGCTTACTAACCTTTGTTTCACGTTTATTGTCATGCTTAGCGCAGAATAAATAGATTGTTTCCAAAGATGGATGCTTCATGCTTCATTTTTACACTTCTTGGAGATATGCAAGTATCAGAACATTCTCTTCGATTTCACTTTCGTCTACATTTCGCATATATTTTTAACGAATATTGTCTGAATAATTCTGATACAAAATTTGAAAAAAACAGTTGACAGTTATAGTATATTATGTAACAAGTGTTATAAACGTCCTTTTAGTAACGAGTAGTTTAAGCACGAGCGGAGCAGAGCGGAGCGAGTGTTTAATAAACGAGTGTCTAGAAGAGTTTATAAACGCGTTACATACTATGATTTTTCTACGAACCTCAAAAATTACATTAACATTCCTGCAATTTCTCCTAACCAACAAAATAATTCGAAAGGAATGGGAATTGAGAACATAATACATGCATCAACTGCATGCAACCAGCGAGACACGTGTAAGTGATATTGGTTGTAGATGTGTCCAGTCCATTGCTTACTAACCTTTGTTTCACGTTTATTGTCATGCTTAGCGCAGAATAAATAAATTGTTCTCAAAGGTGGATGCTTCATGTTTACACTTCTAGGAGATATGCGAGTACCAGAACATTCTCTTAGATTTTTCTTTCGTCTACTTTTCGCATATATTTTTATTGAAGAATTCTGATACAAACGAATATTGTTTGAGTAATTCTGATACAAAATTCGAAAATAACAGTTGACAGTTAATACAATTGACAGGTCAGACATGTCTCAAATTATTGAAGCTGTGTTTAAGGAACTGCGTTGCCATGGTAATGTGTTTAAGAAATCGTGTTGCCATGGTAACGTCTTTAATATTTTGAATAAATCACAGATCGACAATCTGTGATTGATCGATCATTTAGCGTGGTACATATCCGTACGCTAAATGCCATTTTAGTTATGTGAGTAGAAAAATACAATTATTGACAGGCCAGACATGTCTCAAATTTCTGAAGTTGTGTTTAATGAACTGTGTTGCTATGGTAATGTGTTTAAGAAATCGTGTTGCCATGGTAACATGTTTAATATTTCGAATAAATCACAGATCGACAATTCGTGATTAATCGATTATTTAGCGTGGTGGTACATATCCGTAAGGTAAATTCTATTTTAGTTATGTGAGTGGAAAAACTCATTTTTCTGTCGAAAATGAATGAGACACAAACATTTAATAACAGTAAACCAGCACAATTCAACATAAAAATATTCACGGGATCTGACACGATCGTCTTGCCAGCAATTTGCACCTCGTTATTTTCGATCAATTCATTCCGTCGTTTTGAGTGAAAGTTATCTACAAATAAATAGGTCAAAGATTCGGCCAAGGTGTAAAATGAAGAGATGCGATGTGGTATTCTGGGATCGGCTCAACGCCAAAACACACATAGATCCAGACAGAGGCTAATTTCAAAACGTTCACTTGCTTTTTTTGTTCATAGTGGCGCTTTCTTCTATATTATTATCGTACCCCATTATTTTTCTACTAAAATAACTAAAATGGCATCTTGCGTACGGATCACAGATTGACGATCTGTGATTTATTATTCCAGATTTTTTTGGGATTTTTTCACCTCAGATAATTTGCCCCAAAATGTCACTGCGTTCAAAGAATTTTCCTATCAGAGAGCCTAGAAGAAAAATGCACTATATACAGTGCAGACTCGATAATCCGAACATTCAATAATCCGAATTCTTCAGTAGTCCGAACAAGCATTTTTAATACATTGAGTACTCTATATAATCCGAATTTCATAGTACTCGATAATCGAACCTATACCTTTAGGCCTATTTATTTTCAGGAATTTTTGCAACTTTTGCAATTTTCAGGCATTTTTGCAATATTTGCAATTTCTGCAATTTTTGCAATTTTTGCAATTTTTGCAATTTTTGCAATTTTTGCAATTTTTGCAATTTTCAGGAATTTTTGCAATTTTCATGAATTTTTGCAAATTTTGCTATTTCTGCAATTTTCAGGCCATTTTGCGATTTTTTTCAATTTTCAGGAATTTTTGCAATTTTTTCAATTTTCAGGAATTTTGTCGATTCTAGCAATTTTCAGGAATTTTTGTAATTTTCAGGAATTTTTGCGATTTTTGCAATTCTCAGGAATTTTTGCAATTTTCAGGAATTTTTGCAGTTTTCAGGAATTTTTGCCATTTTCAGGCATTTTTGCAATTTTTGCTTTTTCTGCTATTTTCAGGCATTTTTGCGATTTTTTCAATTTTCAGGAATTTTTGCGATTTTTGCAATTTTCAGGAATTTTTGCGATTTTTGCAATTTTCAGGAATTTTTGCAAATTTTGCTATTTCTGCAATTTTCAGGCATTTTTGCGATTTTTGCAATTTTCAGGAATTTTTGCGATTTTTGCAATTTTCAGGAATTTTTGCAATTTTCAAGAATTTTTGCAATTTTCAGGAATTTTTGCAAATTTTGCTATTTCTGCAATTTTCAGGAATTTTTGCGATTTTTTCAATTTTCAGGAATTTTTGCAATTTTTGCAATTTTTGCAATTTTCAGGAATTTTTGCAATTTTTGCTATTTCTGCAATTTTCAGGCATTTTTGCGATTTTTTCAATTTTCAGAAATTTTTGCAATTTTTGCAATTTTCAGGAATTTTTTCGATTTCAGCAATTTGCAGGAATTTTTGTAATTTTCAGGAATTTTTGCGATTTTTGCAATTTTCAGGAATTTTTGCAATTTTTGCAATTTTCA